AATCAATAACAATATATTAGAGACAAGCCATTACTTTAGAAAATCTAAACCCTGTTCTTTAAAATTAAGAATAGAACCATAGAAATGTGTTAATATTAAAAACTTCCAAATGAAACAAGTCTTACTCATGCCACAATCAACCCATTTGGTATAATAGCCTTGAAGAAAAAGGAATAGAGGCTTATTTTCCTGAAATAATCACTTGGTCCTTTATCTAGTTCATGGTTTAGCTCAGATGTTGACCTGTCTTTAGTCAAATATTAAAAGCCAACAAAAAACCTACTGTAGTTTCTGAAAGATATAATGTTAAGTACTATTTTGAAGTCTTTCTGACATGCATAATTTATAATTAAAGCCCTTGGGACTTTCTCACCCATTTAAAATAAGCATTCTCTGCCCGAAAAGAATAATGTGTTTATCATGAATCTAAGAAAAAAAAAACTTTGAACTAACCCCTGGGGTCAAAAGAGAACAAAAAATTTTATGTACAGATTTTCGTAACTACAAAAAAGAAACTACTATTGATGCTATAAGAAAGTTCATCTTCATGTGTGTCCTTTCTATGTTAAATTTATGTCATAAGGAATCATAATGAAAATTGCTTCAACCCCCAATTCATAAATCTCCAAATGCTGACCCCTCAGCATCCAACTAGCAATTTAGTTCTTTTTATTGTATACTTTAATATCTTCAATAGCCCTCTCCTGATATCATTTCTCCGTGTGTACCAAGAACTTTCATAAGCTTCATATCAGAAAGTTGTGAAAGTATTAACATGGGTACAGCTCACTCTGGCACGTAGTACACAATTTTTAAAAAATGAACATTTCATATTATTTGATCAGCACAACTGGGAAATAGAATCAATTTAGAAGATTTACTAATCATCACAAACACCTATTAATCATTTTAACATCTTTTAAACTATGAATAAAACACAAAGTAGATAGCTGGTAAAAAAAGATAAAGCAAGCTTAATTTATACCATCACAATCATAACAATGCTGTACAAGTATGTGATGAGTCACACCCTAGAATACCATAATACTTGCTGTTGTTTTTACTGTTTGCTGTACAGTCAAAATGAAGCCACAGTTGATCCTCCAACAGGTTTTTAGAGCCAGTAAATTACACAGAAGGAGAATGTCCGTCTGTCTCCAGCAGAGCAGCTGGTGGATTTGAACCAAGTTCATTTGGGACTGCAGCACAGCTACTTATAACTAGGCCACGAGACTTCCCTAGCAAAAATGTGTCATCTCAAAAAAAAAGTGTCACCTCTCAGTTCTACATATTTCCCTAACAAAACAATTTTTAAAAATATTGTCTGTTCTCCAGCTTTTATTATCTTGACTGATGAACACAAGTGCCTCAGTTGTATTTTTTAAACATTTTAACTCACCTTTCCTTATTTCTCCTGACTTCCTACATCAAATCAGTATCTTGCTTATTCTAGATTTAAAATATTCCTTTTATTCATGTCCATAAATGCCAAGCCTTCACTATGTCTTGTTGTTGTTGTTAAGTGCCATGGAGTCACAGGCGCATAGAGACCCTATGAACGAAAGTCCTCAAAACTTGTGTGACTTTGATCCAGGTTCACAGGGTTTCCAGAGGCAAGCTATTATGGAAGTGGATGCCGCTCTTGCTTCCAAG